CGAAGCATCAACTTCGTGACGCAACTGCAAGCGAACGTTAACATGCCTCACCCCAACCCACCCCACCCCACCCCACATCTACAACCAAGCATCAACTTCGTGATGCAAGCGCAAGCGAACGTTAACATGCCCCACCCCACCCCACATCAACGAGGAAGCATCAACCTGACAGCACCCTAAAATCGCAATTTCCTTGGGGTCGCTAACAGCGGCGATAGCTTAAACAAGGTACATATGTCACTCCACAATTCTTAGAAAGATACGCTGAAGAAGAAGAAGAAGAAGAAGAAGAAAGCACTTGTGGCACTTGCTCCTTTCCACTCCTATAGGCCTGCGGCTCAAGTGCGAGGAGTTGGATCAGAGATGTAAGGCGCATAACTTGGCGACTTGGGGGGGGGTCACGTCGTGCATTGATGTTTAATTCCCGCAGGAATTGGAGACAAACTCAAAGTGGATGGGAGTGACTCTGAACCAGGAGACGCTCTTGAATTCACTGTTTTCCTTGAATGCTATTCTAGTCTGTATTTCCTTGTGGATATGTGAATGCAGGAGGTGACATCGCGGAATGCAATGGTTGAGGTGATTGAAGTCAATGTACATCGCACTATAAAGCTTCAGTAGCTTCAGCCGTATTTTCATACCAACAGATACTAGCAGTTTTCGAGGTTTTTGAGCAGATGCTGAAGACAGAGATGGCGAAGGTTTCCAGCTCTGCGCAAACCCCAGCCCGCGTGTTTCTTTCCAGGGAGACCATCACACTGCGCCCAGGTGAGTGACCAGATCGCAGTTGCAAACTTGGACAGCAAAGAAACTCAAAAAACAGTTCTGGACCTCTTGAGCAAGGATTCACGCATCTTAATGCTTGATGTTGTAGCATTCTTCGCCTGTGCGGCCCTTGCCCCATGGATGAATGACGCGGTGCAGGAGACATTTGACCGTCAAGAGCAGGCACGAGCAATCAATTGCGACCTTGCAAGCCTGGGAAACGGTGGCAGCCTGAAGTTCACGCAACAGTGTTGTTCTAGGGCAGTCAGCCCAACGTATGGTTTGAAGTCTTGGACTTCTCACTGGCTGCACAGCTTCCTCAAAAGGTGTGCCGAAGTCTGACTAGATCCTATGACATCTTATCTAGGCCAAGAGTACAGTGGTTGGGTACTCCACCTTGTGCCCCAACATGAGGTGCGCAAGTGGGGTGCTTAAGTTCTGCTCTAGTCAGAAATCTCCAAGGCTTGGGCGATCGATTGGGAAAGCTTGAAGGAGCTTGGCATGGTGTACGCCAGGAGAGTCATTGCGCCAGATTACGCACCTTAGATCCACGCCCGCAAGATCTATACAAGCAGTTCCCGGGCAAGCCGGCGGCGGAAGTTTCCTATAAGAACAATTTGACCTATATAGTGTCCCTTCATGCCCTGCGCACTGCGGACTCCCTTTTTTTTCTGGCCCGCAACGATGGCGTCATCAGCCCACAAGGGCGTACTCGCTCTGGCAGTGTGCACGCAGTGGCACTGTGCATGCAGTGGCTTCTTCTTTTGCTTTTCATCGGTGCATATATGAACTGCTCTGTGTGTGTGTGTGTGCGTGCGACAAGAGGCTGCCTGGAGCTAGAGAGCTGCCTGGAACTAGAGCAAACTAGACCTATAGCTGAGGAAAGTCCGTAACACGGAAGTACGCATTTCCTACGAGACTGGATTCCAACATGCATGTTGAAGACCTGCGCGAAACATTTCTGCAAGACTTCATCAAAAAATGTGGCACCAAGTGCTGTACCTGCCACGAAATCTGCACTTTTGAGGTTCGCCAAGTGGTGTGCCTGCCACGACGAAATCTGCACTTTGAGGTTCACAAAGTGCTGTGCCTGCCACGAAATCTGCACTTCGAGGTTCACCAAGTGCTGTACCTGCCACGAAATCTGCACTTCGAGGTTCACCAAGTTGTGTGCCTGCCACGAAATCTGCACTGCGAGGTTCACAAAGTGCTGTTCCTGCCACGAAATCTGCACTTCGAGGTTCACCAAGTGCCGTACCTGCCACAAAATCTGCACTTTGATGAGGTTCACCAAGTGCTGTGCCTGCCACGAAATCTACACGGCGAGGTTCACAAGAAATCTGCACTTTGAGGTTCACCTGCCACGAAATCTGCACTTCGACGTTCACCCAGCGCTGTGCCTGCCACGAAATCTGCAAACGAGCCACATGTCCAAAAGTCACGATTCACTGACTGCACCTGTCACGAAATCTGAGCTCCTCGACGATCATGTCCAAAGCACTGCACCTGTCACGAAAAGTCGACTTTAAAGCACCAAAACACCAGAGGTTTCCCCTGCGCCTGCCACGAAAAGTGACCACCATGTGCGAAAATGCGCACGGCACCAAAACGAGAGCGCAGTCGTTAGAAGCACCCGCCCGGGGCACCCAGACTGTGTGAGCCTGCGCAGTCGAAAGGCACATAAGACGCAGGTGAAAACTCTAGTTACAATGGAGGGACGATTCGACCATGATCCGACCATGACGCGAGGCCATTCCGCGTTCCGCAGAGCTGGCCTTGCCAGGCTGACTCCCTGACAACAGCACACCTTGGAGGGGCTGGACAAGACCACGGAGGACCACTACGGGGGGCCATTTGAGGACCTGACGGTTCAGAAGGTGGTGCGGGTATCTCTTTTCCACCCCACGCGTCCAAATCAGTGGCCACGGCACTCCGCCGTGTACACCAGAATATGGGACATCCCTCCAACAACGACCTAGCCCGACACCTGAAGCTGGCGGGCGCTAGTGAAGAGTCGGTGAAGGCATGCCATCAACTGCATTGCCAAACCTGCAAGAGACATGCCCGGTCGGGTAGCAGGAGACCGGCAAAAGTCTTCAAGCCTCTTGACTTTAACGAAGAGGTCGCCGTGGACACCATGCACCTCTATGACCTCTCCGGGAACAAGGTGACGGTCCTCTCGATCATGGACGTGGGGTCTGGATACCATGTGGTGGCGCCCGTAACCGGGAGGAAAGCAGAAGATTACACCCAGCGCTTCTTGAAGAGTTGGGTGGCTTGGGCCGGAGCTCCACAAAGTACCCTGGTGGACCAAGAGAGAGGCCTCATGAAGGATTTCCCGGAAGAGTTGGAGAAGCACGGCATCCGGGTCAACTACACGGCGGGACAAGCACATTGGCAAAATGGACACATCGAGAGGCAGAACGAGTGGTTCCGGCAGATCTTTGACCGGGTCAAAGACCATCTCTCCATGCAGGACCACGAGGTCGAATGGGTCCTGGCATCAGTGTCGCAGGCCAAGAACTACCTCCGACGTCGCCATGGCTACTCCCCCGCTCAGTGGCTTTTTGGGGTGGCTCCTCGCTTGGGAGAAGGGATATTGGATGAGGAAGACGACATCGCTGAGAGACAGGCCCTCATTTCCCCTGGCGATCAATGGTCGGGCTATCCATGGGCGACCACGAGTCCAACACGGAGACTTCATGGCCCGCAAAAGGCAAAACGTGGGAGAATGGATCGGACCTGGGGTCATCGTGGGGCAGGAAGGTAAGAATTTCTGGGTCTCACGAGGGGGTCGGTGCCTACTATGTGCTCGAGAGCATCTCCGTTTGGCCGAGTCGGAAGAGTTGGGAGGAACACTTCAAGCCAAGGCAGTGAGGTCCGACTTGGTCAAGCTCATCGAGGGCATGGAGATCGACGACGAGGAGGTCTTCGCCGACGCC